TTAAGGATTATATTAATATTTTATTTACATGTTTTGTTACGAGATCGACTTTCATTTTAAATAAAAACTCATTCACAACATAGCAGAGTATGATTTATAGGTACAACAAAAAAATCGTATGCATCTTTATTGGGAAGGCAGCACATTTTGCAAATGATAGGGTCTTCTGTTAATGAAATTTTACAAATTCTATCTTCAAAATTTCCGATAAAGAAATTAAATTTTTCATAAATTTCTATGTTTGTCTTAGATAACACACCTGATTTTATAAATATTTGTCCTTCTACACTAATAATATTCTCTTGTTTTCCAAAGTATTTTATCCGAATACCTAATTGTTTTGCTGCTCAACATTACACAATCATCACTTTTTCGATTTGTTAGTATTTTAAAATTGTAAAATGAAGCAGCTGTAAATTTGTTTCCGCCCACAGAATGTGTCAATGCTGGTATGAAATGGCGTGTTGTTTGCAAGTCTGTTATTCTATTACCAAATCCAGAATTATTTTGATGTATTTTTTTGAGTTCATTCATTCTATTGCTGCACTGCTGTAGTGGACGATTGAAACTGTGCAGTTTCTTTTTTATTACTTTTATAAATGCTTCATATAAGTAGCAACTATTTTCATCTAAAGGGCCGAGGAATTTTGCATCTTCTGCTAAATGCAGAAGTCCGTGAACATTGTAGGTGACATTTTGTTTACCAAAAAGCTTGATAAAATTTTTCACAAAATATACTAAAAGAGAATGGGCATATTCATTACATTTGTCATAATATAAGGGGGATGTCAATATTCGAATTGCTAAGCTTAAAGACATAAAATGTTCATACGGTTCCTTGTGCAACACGTTTTTTAGCACTATTGGTCCCGTATAAAGCAAAAAAACCCTACATTCTGACGCCTTAAGAAAATGTGCATATTTCAGAGTTCTTGGTTTTCGTTGAAAGTCAATAGGAGTATACGAATAACAATTTTCAAGGTGTTGGTTAATAATAGTAACTTTAGAAGCTTGTAATTTCTGTGAACCTGGTTTTCCTAACCATATATTTACTATCTTCTTTACAACACCTTCATCAACTAAATGCATTTTATCGACAGGAAATGTCTTTATCATATCAATAGTTAGTTGTTCCAAGACGCTTCGTTCCTTATTCATGTGATGTCCAATATCATCTTCACCAGAAAATATTATCTTTCTACTTCTAAAAGCTTCTTCAGTTCTCTGTTCAGAACGAAGATTTGGATAAACTATTTTAGATTTGTTCCCCGAAGATGATAACACAGGTTCACCTTTTATATAACATTTTGAACAACAGTAATAACCGCCATGACATTTGATACCTTTTACAAAAGCCATGGCTGGGGCATCACATACAATGGCCTTTAATTTTACTGGATAAATGATTCCATTCCACAAAAATCCATTTTCCATTAAATCTTTCATCTCCTCGACAAATTCTAATAAATAGTTATTGTACGATTCGGGTTTTTGAGGTCCATTAAATATTCCAACCATAAAGACATCAGGGTGGCTACCAAACAAGTTGGAGAGAATGCCTAATATTGGCCAAAAGCTTGCCCCACCACTTGTGCTAATGGGCGTTCCATCCATGTTGAATGATAGCTGCAAATGTGTTAATTTTAAATTTAATATATCGGTTCCAAAGCGCTCAAAGCACGTATTGAGATAGTCTTTAATACCCAAGTGAACATAATATCCATTATCCATACAACGAACGTTTGTAACTCTAGGTGTTTTCAATAATGTTCTTGCATCCAATGGTAGTTCAATATGATTCCCATCATAGACCAAGATTCGTAATGATTTAGAAACTTGGGTTAATTCAATATTCCCGTTTACTGCCCATTCCCGTAATTTATCGGAAAATGATTTTTGGATTAATACCTGCGTATTAAATTCTTCTTCGACATTATCATCAAACAAACCTGATGTATGTACTTCTGTGTTATGTACATCTTCGTTACTTGTATTTTCTTCATAAATTTCATAATCTGTAGAATAATAGGTATTAATCACATTTGTTTCTTGTGTATCTTGAACACATGATTCTGTAAAACAAATTTATTGAGTACTAAGTAGTTCACACTATATCTCGTATTGAGTGAAAAAGATCTAACCTTCTATTGTAATATTATTTTTAAGTGTTACTAATCGTCGTGTTTGATATCCTCTAGACGTTTCAGTTCGCATTTCCGCCCAACGGCGACAATTATTGGTTTTAATTTTCGGCATTTCATTCAATTTTAATGTCAGTATACCTAACGAAAACATACAAAGCACGTTTCACAACACAGGTCCTATAGCCGAAAGCATTAATCCACCAACTGCACTGAAACTACTGTCTACGCTAAATCTGCGTCCAAGGTTCGAGTCCCACCAGCACCCGTCCGTTACATTCAACATAAGGTAAGGTATATCTAGAGTTTTTCAATATTAAATTAGTACAGTAAAATTATAATAAAAATAAAGTATGTCTTAAAACCGCTAAAAAACATAAATAACATTATTTTGTAAATTATTTTGTATTGCAAATGTATCTAATAATTAAATACAGTAAAGGTTGAGTGACGATTGCGTAAATAATAGGCTACGCACTTTACTTGCTAGTGTAAATATCTAGTGTAGGTTACATTAAGGAAAACTGACTATATAATGTCGCTTTGATATATAGCCTATATAGCATATTCGATAATTGGCCTGTATTGTTGCGATAGAGAATCGATAAATTGAACTTTATCTGATCTAAATCCAAAATACGCAGTGGCGATAGCGAATCGATAAATACCAACGTTATTCTGTCTAAATCTAGAATATACTTAAACCCGTATCGTCGCTGTACCCAAAGAATACAGGCTATCTTTATCGAGTAAAGATTTTAATATAGAACCGATAGAGGTTATATACAGCCTGGTTATACGGGTAGTACTTCCTCTACAACATGTCCAATTTGCACAAAAAAATAAACCTATGTTTTCGGGAAAACTAAATTTTGCTGATAGTCTGCATCTGTCAATTTTTGCTTCAAATCAAAATATCTCGGAAACGGTCAATCCTAAGTATGGAGTGTGTTATATGTTTTCAACTTAAAAATTTACAGGGGGTTCCATTCACTTCAGGTATAACCGGAAGTACGATGACCTTGAAAATATTTTAGCTTGGTAGGCCCCACGGTCTGTATCACACCAACATAATTTCAAAAAAATCCTTTGAGCGGTTTTCCAGATATCCATCGATGGAGTTCGTGGTGGGACACCCTGTATTTAAAAATGCATTCATTTAGTTAAATTACTTTTTCTGACATTGGCACCTTGAAATTTTTAGTTACTTTTATTTATTATTAAAATAAAATTCTATGAGTGTTGGAAAAAATTTTATATGGTGTTACATCATATGTCACTTGGAAAAATTAAACATTTCCCAGCGTGACTTATATACCGTAACACACTAGTATCATAAATAACTATTACTCATCATTGCTATCGATTCCACAATCTGGATGGGATCCGTTATAGATCACATCATCAGGTACGTTTCTACCCTTGTTTCAGCGAAACTTATTCACATAAAATATCTTAATCTGAAAAGAACGACTGTTTGACATCTATTGATGTAATATTTGCATAATTAACTTCTACTTCCAAGCTGGACCGACATGGCAATTTCCACTCGGGGTTGCATTTATTCCAATAGAAATTAAATGTTTTATTATTTACTATATGAAATAGTAGGTTACATGCAATCATTATGAAGATTAAATCAAACATAAATTGAGTCTTCTGGTTTTTGCAAGTTTTTTTGTGTGTGTGTGTTTTTCATTGCTTAATACTTATTACTTTACATTTACTAATGTTTGTTTTAAACGTTTTTATACATATACAAATATGTATATACTGAATTACATTATTGTTTATAGTTTTTTAGTTAAAGAAAGCACTGTTCGTTATTTTACTTTCCCTATGACCACATGCACTTGAAATAACAAATAGGTATGTTGAGTGGGGCTTTGTTGGACAAATTTACTACTGATAAAGCTGTGATGCTGAACTGAGTACATAATTTATTACTCCTTGCTTTTTTTTAATTTTATAAAAAAATAAAACAACAAATATTTAACACCGAAGGGAGCAGCTTAAATAGGTATTTTTAGCTCATTATTTTCCTTTACTTACTTTCATAAAATTCTTTTCTATTCCAAAAAATATATCTGTTTTATTTTATTTTCCACCTGAATAGTTTTTATATGTTAATAATTTTATAGCTACTTACCAGTAAATTTGTTTTTTTTTTTTAGTCAGAAGAGTATGAATTGTTTACTGTTTTTTAGCACTAACTACGCTCAACATAAATACATACAATTATGCATCAAGACAATTAAAATCGTAAATTGTTCGATTATAGGGAAATCGACGATTACACCAACAGATAGGAAGCTCACGTGGCTGACTGACAGCGTCAATGGCTAGCGAACCGCGTGTGACAGCTCTAGTTATTAATCATATCAAGTTATGAAAATACTCTAAGAAAAAATGTAACTTAATCAATTTATGATAATGCTAACTTTATTTCTGATAAAATATGTATACTAACTATAATTTCAATATACTTACAAACATTAATACCTTATTTCAATATTACGAACAAACGAAATTCTAAAGTTCGTTTTTCAAATATTACCGTTTTATTCTAGGTATTTTTGTTATCATTGCATATTTTAATACTCTGTTTATTATTGGGTACAAAAAAAAAAACAAGTTTTCAAAATCAAAAACTTCTCAACTCAATTAGCCAACATATTTCATGTACTTCTGCTACATCACTAATTACATCACTAACAAATACTCAAGCAAATACTCTTAAAAGAGTAGGTATTTATAGGTACACTATATCCTTAATTTTTCATAGTTATTGAATAAATAAGGATAGATAACTTTTATAACTATTGTAGTAGATATTCTTACAATGAAATTAATACTTACAAGTGATCTCCTTGTAACATAATTTGGGGGCAATTTTGGAAATCCTCCTCGTACAGAAGAAATTCGAAAATTTTCCTCATCTTCCCTAAGTTTTTTATTCTTTGGATATAATATATCCAAGTAAGTGAAAACTTTTTGCAAAGTATTTGTATCGTTAGAATCTATGATTGTATATATTTCATGTAATTTATTTTCTGGGCTCTAAAACAAAAGGGAATTTTGGAAACATAACCTAGAATAATATGATCACTTACATTGCAATTGTAAATTCTAAAGTAATCAGCTTCTTTAATAATTTTTTGAGAAATCAAATAGTCAAGAAAATCGTTTAAATCATTTTCATCAACTAGTTGTTTATAACTATTTAATTTAGAAATCGTCGACTCCGATTCCATCAGGACAATGGTTATCACATAAAAACACTAATAGTTCATTTTTCTAAAAACTTTACATATTATAACTATTTACAAGAATGTCCCGAGTACTATTTTCATGAAAGAAAATTTTACATAAGAGAAAACAAAACACAACATAAAACAAAAAACACCACTTCCAACCGTTGTATACAGAGACACAGACCGATAAACAAAATTATCTTCTGAGTCAGTTTCTTCCAGTTGTGCCAACCTTAGTATAAAGTATTTACAAAATTCGACCTGTGGGCAATAGGCAAAAAAGTAAAACAATTTTTTGCGAAGGATATTTTTAGGCACATTTAAAACGGAGACAATTTTTAATTTAATTTTATTTTTTTTAATAAAGCTCTAAATATAGATATACGTATAGAAAATATATATTCTATCAGAAATTCAATTTAATGATGTACCTACTGAATGTAAAAAAATAACCAGACTGATATTTTTTCATAATCGGTATTGAAAAATATCAATTTCTAATTTATGTAAAGCGTTATAGGTATTGGTTACAAGGGAGTAGCCAGGACAAAACAAAAATACGTACCTAAATACATGCGGGCGCCCATATAAGAGGGGCAAGGGGGGCATTCCCGTGCTTCCCCCCTAGCCCATGATTTTGTGTAATATTTTTATTTATGATTTATTAACATTGAACATTATTACCAATAAATACTCTTTTCTGTATTTTGCTACTGATTAATTGTGATGTAATAAGTTGTCTTACTTCACATATGTGTCTGTGTTTTTAAAATTTAAAAACACTTGTGAAAGAAATTTAGGGCGTAACTCTGTGTGACGATGACAATCTTCAACAGTGTTGCAGAGATGTTAATCAGCTCTATCATGCAGTGGCCCATTTCCTTTTTTCTAAATGTCTCTTGTTTGAGATCCACAATTGAAACAAAAGTAAGATTTTTGGCCAAAAGTTGCTTGTTTGACATCAACACAAACCAGCATTATCTAATTTATTGTTATTAATTATTTTATACAACTATATTATTTTATTCATAGGGAAAATGCAAAATATTGTGCAATTCTCATATCCCCCAGATCTCACAGATGGATTTGGACCCTGGAAAATTTTGTATGGGTACATATAGATTATTTATACCAGAGAGGAGTACACTCATTTATTTATTATACACAGTGTGAGAATGTGACCCACTAAGAACTCAGAACACTACCCCTCTCCCTCATTTTTTTTTAGTACGTAGTATTTATAAAAATCACAGGCAATATAGCTTATCGCTCAGCTATATTGTCTGTGTAAAATTAACAAAAATTATTAGCGTTTCTCTTATATCCGGACGCATATAAGGTTCGAACGATTTTTTTATATGTAGGAGCTTTCTAGGTTACGATGATTCAATTGATCATCTATGGCCTGCAGCATTCATTATTTTAGAAACGATTTTATAAAAAATCACTACCGGAATTTTTTTATTAAAATTCTGCGATTACGTAGAAACATATTATCTTTATCGTCATGAACTATTATTAATTATTATCATAATAAATTTTTATCAATATTTTGTGAGATTTTCGATTGGGTTTTAAACTCACAACTTGATGAATATTAGGCATTCCTTATGTATACCGCATAAACAAGAATGTTCTGTATAGGGTGTTCAAAATTGTATTCCAAAATCAATATTTTTTATACTATTTTTAAATGGAACATTATATATACATACTTACACGGTGTTTGGTGGATTTCTTGGTATTAAAATAAAGGAAAAATTCTATTATTACATGTTATATAGTCTATTTCAGTTACTAAGCTGCTAAATAATACCACCATTAGATTTAGCGACAAAAATTAAAGGCATAGTACAAACAAGGTTTTGTTAAAAAATGCTTCATTTCCTAGATGCAGGATGTTGATATTGAGAAAATGTTTTCGGACATGTACAAAACTCGTTTTTTTTTTTCAAATTTGACATGGAGAGTATCTGTAGAGGAGACCTCAATTTCATATCAATAACTCTTACGACCCTTTGTAAAACAGATTGATGACTAATTTAAATTTTTCTTTGATTTACCTATAGGCATGTAAAAATTAGTACACTGCCAACGAATGTTACATTCAAGGGTATAATCTAGAACCCGAATGGTGCCGATTTAACCAAACTTGCTTAAATGAAAAATATCGCAAAAAAAGTTACAGGATGTTAAAGTTTTTTTTTATATCTTGTTTTCTCCTTAACTCAGAACACAGTTAACCGATTTGAGCAAAATTTGCTGTTGCTTAGTTTCTTTCTTCATGAAGTATGCAGTTATTATGTTCCCATTAGGTTAAATCGTACAGGGCATTCATTTTACTACGACCCATTGTGAATATTCTTCTGTAACTTTTTTGTACGTTTAAATTGTTACACTAAATTGTTACACGCAACTATCAGAAATAGGTAGAGAATTTTATTCTACACCAAAAATGTATACCTATCGAAAGTCGAAATAATGTATTTATATTGCCAAACATGGTGACTAGAACTCTGTCCTTGCTTATACATACAGGGTGGTCAGAATTTTATGCAGTAAACTTCGAGGGTAGATAGATCTCTTTAAAATAATATGTGTTTGCCTTATAAACATAGGTCTGGAACGGCCCCGTTTTGGAGATACAGGGTGTTCAGGTTAAAAAAAAATGATTTTTTGTTTATATCGCACGCTACCTCACAGGTGGTGTAAAAATAATTTTGTTGATGTGCTTACAAATTGCACTTACTTTAAACATAAACAAATATTCTTGTAATATTATCGTTAGAAGTGTCTGCCACAAGGGGATTGTATTGGTATGAATAACTTGAGCATGGCGAATTTTAGGGAAAAAATTAAAGCCACCTTTTTTACGTATTTTTTGCATTAAAATATAAATCAGTTACAATGACATGTAAAAATGCAGTGGCGTAGGTTTTTTTTGTAAAAAAGGGGGTGACCCCTGTCCAGTTGTACACCACTGGTTGAACCTTTAAAGCTCATATTTCAGGGAATATAAGGCCTACTATCATACATTATATGTACCAAATTTTATTGAGATCGGTTAATAGATTCCGGAGATATAACACATATTATTTTAAAGAAATCTATCTGCCTTCGAAGTTTCCTGCATAGAATTCGGACCACCCCGTATAATTTATTATATAGGATGATTCACAAATGATGACCAAAAATAAAACCTCGTATTCTTTGGTGAATTTTAAGAGGAGTCTTTCCTATAAAGTTTTTATCTAGGACGCTTCGTTAAAAAGATACAGGCTGTTAAAGTTCAAAAATTTTTTTTAATTCTTTTAAATAATAATTTAAAAACTAGTTAGTGAAATAATTTGAAATTAGGCACACGCATTTATGTAAACATTGTCCAAAATCTGAGGCTTTTTTCTAAAATTTAGATACATCAGTGGCGGAGTTACAGGGTATCGGTAGCATATTTTTCTAAATAAAATAGTACACCACTGCTTTACAGTAACAAACATGATATTTTCGGATTCGTCTTTCAATTTTTACAAATTACTATTCTCTTATGTTTTTCAAAAAAGCCCGATTTTCGAGTAAATGAAGGTATTTTTGAGCACTTACTCATATAAAATCATTAAAATGATGACTAATGTTATTAATTTCTTTATTCGAATAATCGAATGATTAGTGCTTGTAATGTAATGTTTTCAGTTAGGTTCTTAAGTAGAGAATTGAAAGACGAATCTGAAAATATCATGGTTGTTATAGTAAAGAAGTGGCGTACTATTTTATTTAGAAAAATATGCTACCGATTCCCTGTATCTCCGCCACTGGAGCGTGTAAATTTTAGGAAATACTCTCAGATTTTGGATAATTTTGCATAAATACATATGCCCAATTTCAAATTATTTCACTTACTAGTTGTTAAATTATTTAAAAAAATTAAAAATATTTTTTGAAGTTTAACACCCTGTATCTTTTTAACGAAGCGTACTAGATGAAAACTTTATAGGAAAGATTCCCCTTAAAATTAATCAAAGAATACGAGGTTTCGTTTTTGGTCACCATTTGTGAATCACCCTGTATAAGCAAGGCTTTATATTCTTGATTTTAACAAAAGTTCATATGAACATTTTCTATTCTTCTATTTTTAATTCTGAAAATAAAAAAACAGTTTTTAAGTTTGACTGGTTAATATCTGATTAGTGATTACACTATAGCAAGAGAATTAATACCAATTTAAATAATGTTAAATGATTTTTATCATAAACATTGTTAGTATTATATGTAACCAAAATTCATTAAAAAATTGTTTAATAATAGAACCAATAATAGTTTTAAAATTTCATCGTGATTTATTGTCAAATAAATTGAAAATTTTGTGTATTACACGTAAGTAACGATTAATTCAAGGTCAAAAAATGTATCAGTTTCTTTGACTGTAAAACTGCTATCGTAAAAAAAAATATAAAAAAGCTGCTTGAATATTAAAATGAAAATTTCGCATTTCATGTTACCAAAGATATTAAAATTATTACCTATACAATTTACGAGGTTCCATTTCATACAATACATTCAATTCAATACATCTGATGTAGCAACATATCTGAAAGCAAATTTTTAAGAAACGCTGCAATAGAGTAGTTCGTCTAAAGGAAAATTGACATTTGAAATTTTAATTAACGCAATGACCGAAAAATACGTTGATCAAGATCAAAATTTTAGAGATGTATTTAATTGGAATCAAAAGATAATAGTGTTCTATTAAAACGACACTCTATATTTAAGTGTTTTTAGTTGCAACTACATATGAAATAAATAATACATATTATTCATTGCTATTTACTTATTATTATGCAGAAATATATCTAGTTAGCCATAGCCAACATAAATGTAAATTTATGTTTCTAGAATTAGTAGTAGTTTAATTAAAAAATGTTTTTCGATTATATCTACCTAAGTTTTGATTCTTGGAGGAGTCTATAGATTCATTTTCTATTATACTTATAACTGCTAATTTACTTAGGTACTTACTGGTTCTGATTTTGTATTTCCTTCTTATCTATTTGGAAATATCATAGGAAGGATGTTGGGAAATATAGGAGATAAAATATGTTCCTAGGTATAAATAGGTATGTTACAATCACAGAGCACCGTTACAATAGATTTATACATATTTCTAATTTAGTGGTAACTTTTTATGTATATTGTGTAACAAGCTTAGAGTTTCTGATTTCTCGCCCTACTTTTTTTCTCGGGACTCGAGAATTCTCGACTAGGAATTCCCGGGAATTCTCGAATTCTCGAGAAATTTCTACAACTTAAAAAGTCATAATTCTGATATTACAATGCGAAATATAAACATGCTATTATACTTAACAATCATCATTAACATTTATTATTTTTTCAGTATTTTTATTAATTAATTTATTAATATGTTTCTACTTTTACTAACAAAACTAAATTAAACTTTGAGCATATTCTCAAAAACCTTTAACTTGTTTTTTTATTAAACACTTTCATTATACTTATGTTTATTTCAATGTTTTTGAATCGTAGTTTTCTTCCAATAATTATTAATAATTATTAATCATGCAGTCTTTTAATTAACCAAATAGTAAATAACGAATTTAACCGAAGAAATCTTAAAAAACAAGCTTTAATTTAAAGATACAGAAGCGTTTTTCCTATTAATTTATCACTTATAATCACAATCTTTTAATTAACAAAACAAAAATAAAATAATCAACTAAAGGAACATGAACTAAATATTTTCAGACTCAACATCAACATTAGGTATCTGCTTATAATAAAATTTCTACACAGACTTATAACAAGGTACATTAAAAAAATAAGAATCGTCAAAGTAAACTAAAGCCTTAAAAACTTAAAGTAAATAAATCATGAGCTAGTCGAGAAACCACTTTAACCGCTCAGTTATTTGTCGAGAAACGAATTGAACTCATGAACGAAACGAACTCCAATCAAGAACTTAAGAAGCGCGTGATTTTTAAATTTCTCGATTTCTCGACACTTTTTTCTCGTCTCGAGTAAGGCCAGATTTCCCGGGAATTCTCGCTTCGAGAAGTCTCGACCAGAAACTCTAAACAAGCTACAATAGTAATAAGTGTTAACAATGAAAACAAATATAAGGCCACTTATTTACATGTTTATTTGTATATATTAAATATATTTAATGATAAGTAAGTACATATTTATCTAGAGTTTATTTGTTTTTTTTTTAATTGAGGACAATTGACAATAAAAAAAATCCGTATATCGTGAAATATTCGAATATCGATTTTATCCTGGTTGCAATTCTATATCATTACAATCACAGATTACAATCAATGAATTATAATAATCTAAGTACCAAGTCTACAGTACTTTTATTTTTAAACTATTACAAATAAAAGTAAATGTAGAAAAATAAATGTTTCCACGAATTATGCAATCTGTAAACTGCATACATTTTTTTCGTTGGGTAGATATTATCTATACTTATAATTGGATCAATTAGGTAGGTATTTAAAAGGTAAACATGAATTTTGATGTGTTTCATTATATTCATATATACAGGGCGGTCTAGCTTTAAATCCATAATCACATTGGTTTTTCATGTTTCAGAACAACTATCTACGCAAAATTTTGCAACTTTAAGAAACTGACAACAGGTGTAGTAATTTTTATAAATAGTTGATTGAGCAATTAAAAAATTTAATGCGTGCGTTATCAAAAAATACATTTTGAAAAATAAAAAAATTGTAGAAATCAAAAATAAAAACCAGTAAAAAGTAAGTTTACTACTAATTGTTACATCATATACCTTTATAATCAGTAGCAAATTTGAGGTTTCTGTTACATCAAAAATCTTTTTCTTATGGTGTCCGGTTCTAGTGTCATAATTGTAGCCTTTTTGCTTAAAATCATTTGTTCCATTATCTGCAAGAACCTGCTGAGTTTAGAGAGCTGGTTAACCCTATATATTTCATTTATAAAGGCATAACCATAATTATATCTGTTAAGTGTTAACATCAGAACCCTCAATTTAACATGATTTTAATCTCTTTAACTATTTACATATTTACACGTTTATACAAAACGGAATTTGGCTGTTTGAGAACTTCTCCAGTAAATGTTTTTACCGTTTCGAATTACATGTTTAATTGTGAAATATTCTCTCAAATGGAAAATGCTGAAAATTTTTGTTGAATATTTCCGTGAATGCTGTTCCCACCAAGTCGTTTATCAGGGGACTAAGTACCACAAAGCCTGGCTGCCAAGCGTTGTTGATGATCCGATCCAATATATTTTCTAACATAAAAAAAATATTCTGTAAAATAGTTCTGAAGCGTTTAATCTTTGTTTTTTAAACAAATGTGTTTATTTTTTAAAGTTACCTAACTGAAATATACTGAGTCATAGAGGATGTTCCGTTAAAACTTAAAAAAACGGGAATGAGTTCCCATTGGAAAAGTAGTTTATATAACGCTTTTCTCATTACCATTTTTTTAAAGTATAAACGGGACACCCTGTATAATAGATGTACATATTTTTAGCTACAATAAAATGGCCAAGAAATTGAAGAAAACGAAATTTATTGTCTATTTTTGAAAACATTAAAAAATAGGTTAAAAGCAGGCGTTTTTCTTGCAACAATATTAATTATATACATGGTGATTCACTTATCCAAAAAAATTTGGGAATAGATGCGTCATGAAAAATGGAGTCAATATCGTAAAAATTTTTTGTAAAATCCTTATAATTTCCGAGAAACAAATTATTGAAATTATAGTATTTTCAACATTTACATCCCTGGATTACTGTAGCCTCTAGCGTCATTGATGGCTCTAGGCGATTCCGAATATTGAAACCCGATGTTAGTATTTACGTTTTTGGGATAGTGGTTACATTAGTTTTTCAATTATCAAAAATGGTTTACGTATAAAGCAACTCGGGAGTTGATGGATATCGTTTTAATTTATGGTGAAGCAAGACAGCATTTGTGTTACATAGAAGCATTTGTGTTATGGTGAATCAAGCCAACATTTGTGTTAGTTCGTAGAAACTGGGTAAGACGGACCCAAATGTGTTTACACGTCGGTAGATAAATTTTAAACAGTTGTAACATCAGGTATGTGTTATTTAAAGACACACATTAAATTTATTAATTAATAATAATAGCAGCAAAAGCAGTTGAAATTGCTGATATAAAATAGATAAAATTTTATTTATTTTTTTCCTTGGGAAACCAGGGCGAACGATTTAATTAATTAAAGACTCAAGCTCACTGAAATACGTTTAAAACAAGAAGAAAAAGAAGAAAAATCGGATATTTTATTAGTAAAACTAGCTATTTTTCGAATTATTATTTTTTTAAATTCATTCAAATTATTCGTTTGACTGAAAATATATCTACAATTTTTTTTGTTCGAAACGCAATAAATAATATATAATAAATATAATGTACTCAATAGGCCCATTCCGTAAAATTTTTTTATTGCATATTTCAAAAGTTTACCCTTTAATTAGTTAGTATGCCAAAAATCAATTTTTTGTTTCAACGAGAAATGTGTGAAATAAATTAATGAAAACAGAGCGCGGAAAAACGTTGAGCAACCATTGCCTGACGTCATAATACCGGTACGGGCGACGGGCAGAGCACTCCGCTCGCTCTCATAATACATACGATATGTGGATCGATTCGCAGTTTCGTTAATTATTGTTTTTATGTCTAAATGGGTCGAAACCGAGGATTGTACAAATATTGTATAGTTCCAGGCTGCAAAAGTACCTCAGGATCGACTCCGAATAAAATATTTATTTCATTACCGAAAAATGAAAAGTTTGTGTGATGTTATCCACGGTTTCCCCAGCCACGGTATGCAACTCAAAACCACCTTCGTTTTTCTTTGGATGCACGTCTAGGGGGTTGTAAAATATTATTATTTGAACATTTAGAGCACAATTCTCAACTTTATGCCGGAAATAAATTCTGCCCCATCTAAATGTTCGTGTTCACAAAAAATTCGAAATACGACGGCGACAGGGACCTATAAGCAGTTAAGAACCACTCTAGTTTTTCTTTGGTTTTCCATCTAGAGGGTTTTAAATATTATTATTTGAACATTTAGAGCAGAATTATAAAATTTATGCTGGAAAAAATTTCTGCCCCATCTAAACGTACCCGTTCACAAAAATTTCGAAATACGTCGGCGAGAGGGACCTATAAGCAACTCAGAACCACCCTCGTTTTTCTTTGGTTGCCCGTCTAAGAGGTTATAAATATTATTATTTAAACATTTAGAGCAGAATTTTCAAATTTATGTCGAAAAAATAAATTCTACCCCATCTAAACGTTCCCGTCCACAAAAATTTCGAAATACGTTGCGAGAGGCACCTATAAGTAATTTATTTAAATAATAATATAGACGGGCAATCAAAGAAAAACGAGGGTGGTTCTGAGTTGCTCGCACATACACGTCGTCGCATACATCCACAAGTACCGAGTCTAGTACGTTGGGTACATTTGTACACAAAATGGAAGGCAAAATTACGTCATTGAGAAAAATCCGAAAATGTATTTAGATATTCCAAGACATTCTATGTTTATAATAAATATTTTGTGTGAAAAATGCATTTCAACAAGACTTGATGTATATCTCTTATACACTCTCTATTTATACACTTAAAAATATAGGTATATAATATAGGTAAAAGTATAGCAAATATCTACACATCTCTCCGTCGGCTCGCGACTTGATCGCCGAGTGGCCGGTATCGTGACGTCATTAGCTGTTCTCTCGCAGTGTTGACCTTTTCAAGGGTCTTACAAATTCAGAATTAAATATATCACTTATTATTAATCCTATTGACCTAATTTTTTTAAGATATATTTAGGTGGTTAAATATTATCAGAAAATGAAAGAAAAAGTTTAAAATTATATATCACTGAATGGGCCTATTGTCTATTTATATTAGTTTTGTAGAAAAAAAAAATCAAAGCTCCCCTAAAGTTTAGCCCCAAAAACAGTCTGTACAATTTATTTTTAAACCAATTGGAGATTTTTCGTAGTCGATATAAAAAAAATTGTATAGAAACGACAATTATTTGAAAAAACTGTTTTTGGGGAAAAACTTTAGAGATGTGCTTTCGGTAGAAAAGAAAATATATGTCTCGTATATTTTTCTCTTCTTCAATATAGCGAAGTTTCATTAAAATCGGTATTGACATTTCGATAACCTTCCTCGTTAGTGACAATACCTTGCAGTATCTCGATTGCTGGTTAACAGATTTGAAAAATAATTAATTTTAAGTTATATTCACATAAATGTGAAAATGTGTTAATTAGCTTTGTTCATTAAAGCTTGATTAAATCCAAAGAACAATCTCCTAAAGTTCTGACATAGAAAACACCCTATATAGTATAAATTGTGAAAATTTCGTGATCAATTTCTTGAACAATTTATCCATGAAAAAAAAATATTAGTAGAACGTCATTTCTAAAATCACTCACCCACTATAGTCAATCCTCCAGCCAGGTGATCTATATGGAGTCCTAGTTTCTTGCATGACTGTATACTACATTTAACTTTAATTTGTGGATTCTCCTTCTCGTACCCATCCGAATCTTTTACTGATTTTCTAACAACTGTCAGTGTTTGAATGTAGTCAAAAAGCGACAACTTCCATGAACCCTGGTTTTGAAATTTTCGTCCAAAAAATGAACCCTCTATTTCATACCATCCATCTAATTTTTTATCAGGGAAGAACTGAGTTACCTGTATTTGATTTTTGGAAAAGTCGGTTCTAAAAAACAATTTCAATGGTTGTAGTATTTTACAATTATTATTGGTGCATGTTTTAACAAAAATTCAGATTAATATGCTTGCTCCTTTTACTGATTCTCTGTTAACACATTATAATTCCTGCAAAAACGAAAAATAACGTAGAAGAATTTACAGAAGCCGAACTAATTCAAAACTTTTACCCGCTTTCTGCGAGACCAAGGTTATAAGTAGTGACAAGTTACTCTATCACTGTATTGTTGATGAAGTGAGAATGTTTTTATTTTAGCATAGAAAAGAGTCCTATCCAATAAACAAAGATATCGGTCAGTAACACTCAATACAAGCAAATAATTATAATAGAATATGACTATTTGTTTTATTAATGATACTTAATTGTGAAATAGTTATTTTTGTATCTAGTGCGCGAAATGCTACTTTGGTGATCGAGAATTGAATTTTTTAACGAGGCGAAGCCGAGTTAAAAAATTATTCGAGACCACCAAAGTAGTTCACGCACGAGATGCAAACAATATTTTTTCTACAAACGTCAAAATCTATCTCTTAAAAATATTATAAATAAGTAAAATGCCTAATTTATTATAGAAAATAGTGTTGAGCTGGCTTAAAATGTCTTTCCTAATCAAATTTTCACTGTTACTATGGAAACAAAGTGGCTGTTGTTGACAACAATAATAATTATTTTAAAGTGACGTTTGTGCTCGCGTCTTCAATTTTTAAGTGCCAGATATTATTTAAAATAATGGAAATTGCTAGTGACGATGAACTAAGTAGTACCCCACCTAATTTGGCAGATGCGGCCAATTTGGTAACTTCAAATCTTTTACCGGAAAAATCGAAGCGCCAATATGAAAATGCATATCGGCAATTTAAGGAGTGGTGTGAAACAAATAAAGCAAGAAAAGCATCCGAAAATGTGCTGTTAGCATATTTTGCAGAAAGATCCAAGAAGGTGAAGCCTTCCACATTATGGGCAGTATATTCTATGCTAAAATCAACACTTAATGCTAAGGAAAACGTAGATATTAAAAAATTTACCAAGTTGGTTCCATATTTGAAAAAATTGTCAGTTGGACACAACCCTAAGAAATCCAAGGTATTAACTCGAGAAGAAGTAAATCAATTCATAAGAGAGGCAGATGATGAAATATATTTGATGGCTAAGGTATATTTTTAATCATTGTTTTATATGTATTTTAAATTACTAAATATCGATATCCTTTTAGGTCGTTTTAATATTGGGTATTTCTGGTGCTTGCCGCCGTGAAGAACTCACTAAAATGAGTGTCGATGACATAGAAGATAAAGGTTCCATCTTGATTGTGAAAGTACCGGATACAAAAACGAACATACAACGAATTTTTACGGTTTCGAATCTAGATTATATCGATATTTACCGAAAATACGTGGCTCTTCGTCCAAGTTATGCTAGCAGTCGCCGATTGTTTTTGAAGTATCAAAATAAGAGATGCATTAACCAAGTTGTTGGAATAAATTCTATTGGAGGGATGCCCAGCTTAATAGCAAAATACTTAAAATTACCAAATTCTGATGCTTACACAGGTCACTGTTTTCGGAGAACCTCGGCCACACTTCTTGCTAATGCTGGGGGTGATATATGTAGTTTGAAGAGNACAATCAAGATGGAACCTTTATCTTCTATGTCATCGACACTCATTTTAGTGAGTTCTTCACGGCGGCAAGCACCAGAAATACCCAATATTAAAACGACCTAAAAGGATATCGATATTTAGTAATTTAAAATACATATAAAACAATGATTAAAAATATACCTTAGCCATCAAATATATTTCATCATCTGCCTCTCTTATGAATTGATTTACTTCTTCTCGAGTTAATACCTTGGATTTCTTAGGGTTGTGTCCAACTGACAATTTTTTCAAATATGGAACCAACTTGGTAAATTTTTTAATATCTACGTTTTCCTTAGCATTAAGTGTTGATTTTAGCATAGAATATACTGCCCATAATGTGGAAGGCTTCACCTTCTTGGATCTTTCTGCAAAATATGCTAACAGCACATTTTCGGATGCTTTTCTTGCTTTATTTGTTTCACACCACTCCTTAAATTGCCGATATGCATTTTCATATTGGCGCTTCGATTTTTCCGGTAAAAGATTTGAAGTTACCAAATTGGCCGCATCTGCCAAATTAGGTGGGGTACTACTTAGTTCATCGTCACTAGCAATTTCCATTATTTTAAATAATATCTGGCACTTAAAAATTGAAGACGCGAGCACAAACGTCACTTTAAAATAATTATTATTGTTGTCAACAACAGCCACTTTGTTTCCATAGTAACAGTGAAAATTTGATTAGGAAAGACATTTTAAGCCAGCTCAACACTATTTTCTATAATAAATTAGGCATTTTACTTATTTATAATATTTTTAAGAGAAAGAGTTTGACGTTTGTAGAAAAAATATTGTTTGCATCTCGTGCGCGAACTACTTTGGTGGTCTCGAATAATTTTTTAACTCGGCTTCGCCTCGTTAAAAAATTCAATTCTCGATCACCAAAATAGCATTTCGCGCACTAGATACAAAAATAACTATTTATTATTCAGTTTCCTATAATTAAAATCATAGGTGCTTAATTTTTGCAACATGATTGAAATACCTACATATATAACTGCTAATACATATTTCAGTCAGAATACAATGCCAATGCTGTCATGGGCGCCGATTGGGGAGGACAAAGGAGGCAGTTGCTGTCGTCGTCGTCGCCATCGTCCCCCAACAAGTTCTGTAATAGTTAAATACAGGCTCTTCCTGGATTCGGGGTTAACGGCGCCCATGAATGCTGTATAATAATTGTTGTTCATAATCGAAATCATTAGATTTCTTCTAGTTTTAATTAGTACCCAACTTATATTTACCAACTTTCGATCCAATCATTTGAACAAGTTCTATTGGATGTACTATAAAAATACCGGTACCCAAACTTATTAGTTTCAATGAATTGGAGATAATTATACTATTAAATATTTAAAACGTTAGTTGCATAATAGTAATATGCTATAAGTTAGTCGTAGTTGGTAGTGCTTGCTTAAATTTACCAATTGATGGAAATGTGTAAAAAAGGTGCCACGAATATTCCTACCGAATGAAAGTAATTTTTCAAATAAATTTTCTTGTACAATTTATTGGATTTCAGTAAAAGGATAGCTTTCCTTCATATCAAAAAAATATATATTTTTAACCAAGAAATTTACTAATTTTGTTAATTTGATATCAGATGTTTTGTTTATTAACGTTCAAAATTTTCCTTTTTTTACTTACTTAAATCTAGTAACTTGAGATGCTGTCCATCCAGATTCTGTAACATTTTTTAACAACAGCTTATAATTGAAAAAAGGAAGTGACCTTTTTTGTGGGACTTCTGGGGCGAAAAATGGATCAAATGGAAGTATTTCATAATCCGGTAAACCTGAAATATTATTATATTGAAACAAATGCTTTCTAATACCTAATACAGTTTATGATAATAAAGTGTAGCACATAATTTGATTCTAGTGAAAATGGAATTAGGGAAGGGCTATAAAGTATATGGTGTCTTCAATTTTAAGTACCTACTTGTGACTTCACCGCAACATTAAGAAAAATTATTGTAGAATATATTTTTACCATTTAATATTAAATTATATTGTGAATGTGAATAGAATTAAACGAGTTATTCTTATGAATTAATAATTATTGTCCTAGTATAACTAAATATGCTACTAAATATTTGGGAGTCTCTGTCATATTTCCACTGAATCATAGTAACGACAACCGAATATCTATTGAGAAATACAGGAGGCGATATAATCATTAGGATACTACTCTACTTCATTTATTATCAATATTAGTCATAGTGACAAACGATTCAGTCATCAAAATTGTTATTCTTTAACGCATTAAAGAAAAAACTTTGAAATATAATTGCACGAGGTAACTACAGGAATTCTCGATATATGTATTTCCATTCAATAGTTTTAGTTCACAACACTGTTACGACTAAAATCTAAACAATAGATCAATTATTACTCTTCAAGGTAGATCTAGTACTAATTACTTATTATCCTGATTTGGTATAAACAAAATAGCATGAATGAGGTCGATTCTAAACAAATTAGGATAATAACAATGTGATTCAGGTAAAGAAATAACAAGCAATTTTCGAGATTTCTCTAGTCCTCTAAATGTTTAAGAGTGCATTGTATGAATTTATCTCTACAGGGTTTCTGGTAAAGAATAGCTTTACTTCAAGGGTTGCAGCCTTAGATGAAAAGAAACCATAGATACAATTACTTTAGCATAATTTTGCTTCCCTAGAAAATGAAGGTCTTCATATATTTGTCTTATTTATTTTTCTTTAAGGTAACTTATAGTAGTGCCATACACTTTTAAGGGTTTCAGAAATTGAATAATTTTTTTATACATTATGAAGGGACGAAGGGATCAGATCAGTCTGGCATCCTTGTTCCTACAAAAATTCCTTTATTCTCATAAGCTATTTATTTTAAATGTAATTTATTATAAATCCAATTTGTTTTTTAATTTCCACATATGTACTACATTTTACCTCTGTACGCGCCACTGTTGTTTACTTGTTTTTTGGAGGCGCTCTCTGTTTTACGATCAAGCTTGCCAGGTTAGTATTTGACGTATAACCGACCACTTCGTACACTCGATGCACCTGGGCGACTACAGCTACTACCAGAACACAGTGCATATGCAGCGGTATTTCAGATTTAACATTGAATTTCATTTTAAATTTGAAATGGTTCGTCTTACGCCTCCTAAAAATGATGACACGATTTTCCTTTGATAAAAGACCGACAAATTTTTGCTCTACTTTGCATCGAATACGATCCTACTATAGTCACTTTTTGAGGTATTTCAATATAATATTCCTTTATATCTTTATATACAGGGTGATTCACAACTTATCCAAAAAAAAATTGGGAATAGATGCGGCATGAGAAATAGAGTCAATATTGTAAAACACATTTTTGTAAAATCCTTATAGTTTCCGAGAAAAAAATTATTGAAGTTGTAGTGCTTTCAACCATTACATAGCTGGACAACTGTAGTCTCTAGTGTCATTCGTAATACGCCTGGCGGGCCGCGTGGCCTCAGCGTCTCCGAATACTGAAATCCGATGTTTATAATAGTTTTTTAGTAGTTAGTGTCAAAAATGGCTTGCGTGTATAGCAACTCAGAGTTGATGGATATCGTTTTAGTTTATGGTGAAGTAAGAAAACATTTGTATTATGGTGAAGTATTTGTGTTAGTTCGTAGAAACTGAGTAAGACGGACCCAAATCTGTTTACACGTCAGTGGACAAAATTTTGAACAGTTATTGTAACATCAGGTATGTCAAATTACTTTATTATTTAAAACCACAAATGAATTTTATTAATTAATAATAACAATAGCGGCAAAATCAGTTGAATTTGCTGATATAAAGTAGGTGCTATGAAATTCTATTTATTCTTTTCCTTGCGAAATTACTAGTTTTTGCCCGTTTTTATCACTGCCGCCTTGACGGCCGCATTGTGCCAGGTCAGGTTTTACAGTGGACCAGTTTCCAGTGTCGTGCAGAAGTGTATTTTTAAATCATTTTCGAACTGCACTTTTTGATTTTTTCTTTAAAAAATTGTATTTGTAAGAGTCCCCTGTACATCCAGAATTTTTTTTTTGGATAAGTTCTGAATCACCCTGTATATAATTCTTCTGTGCGTGTGTATGTCACTGAATCGATTTTAATGAAATTTTTTGTGTGTGTTCAAGTGGATTCGAGAATGGTTTAGATTTACAATTCGGTCCAATTAGAGGCGGCGTTTAGGCGACAGCGGGGGCGGCCGATATCGGACGGCGGCGTAGCGGCGAAACGACCCCGGAATCGAAGTCAGGGGGTAGATTTACGTACGGCCCGACTGTCGCGGGCCTCCTACCGCCCCTGGGGGCGGCGGGGCGGAACCCCGTGTTTTCGAGTATAACCCGCTTTCCAGCTCGGGAACGGGACGTCGTAAAGAGGCGCGGTTTGCGCCGTCGTACGCGCAAAAGATGGGGCTATCGGAGAGCCCCTATGGTCCGACCTCGAAATCCTCAAGGTTAACCCGGTCGAGCTGTGTGTAGAGTTGCGGGAAGGCGAAATTATGCGCAGAACGGTCGAGGATGTAGAGCAGCGGTCGGCAACTGGCAGACCGCGGTCCAGATCCGGACCGCGGGAGGTAAAAACCTGGACCGCCAAAAATTTTTTGAAAGTATAATACTCAAATTATGTAAAAAATATTTTTCTGTAGATAACAATACATTTGAGTGTCACCCTTATCATTTTTTAATGGTTAATAGGTTAGTTAAAAAAAAACTGGCTCTAGACCGCAAATGTAATTTTTTCCATTGATTTTTGAATACAAATATTCCTTATCTATTGTTGTATTTCCTATTATTTTGTGAGTGCAAATTAAAATAAGTAAGGATTATACTCATGATGTCCAGATGCTTTCAACAACTCTTAAATTGTTAAGCAAGGATCCTCATCATGGTAAATTTAATATACATATTTTGAAAAATACAGGGAGGCTTAAAAATTGCGTTACAAACTAGTAAAACGTCAAAATAAGGGATACGGGAACACTCTCTCTAATATCTGGAGTTGGAGCCACCTCACAGATAAATATTTTTTTTATTTTACCACAACTGTTAACAAAATTCATAGACACTTCATTACATTATTTACAATTTTGCCACTGGTTGGTGAATGGCTTAGCAGAAGTTAAATTGCTTCAAAAATAGTTTTGTACCGATAAACCTTGTTTTACAAGGAACGGAGTTTTTTTTCTGGACCTCGTTAAAAATTTTCAAAAGTATCCGGACCCCACCTAAAATTATTTGCCGACCCCTGATGTAGAGGGACATAAAGCGTCCGTGCTCACCTGGACCAGTTTTTGTGCGCCTGCGCATAAATTTGCTACGGTGCAAGTCGTGCGTTTTTGGACTGAGGGGGAAAAACGACATATGACCGTATGCGCGGCACCGAGGCGGGCTCGGCACTGCCATAAAAAGTGGGGCTCATGTTACCGGAATCGGTCGGAATCTCTGCGCGGTAGGTTGTGGTACGACCTAGGGCTGCGCGTGGGGGTTCCTTCGGTAGAGGATCTGTGCCCCTCCATGCTCGACCGCATGGAATTCTGTGCGCCTGCGTATTTCCGAGTTATGCGTCGAAATGCGAACGGCTATAGGTGGGGCGACGTTCGACGCACCGCTGCAATGCTGCATTCCGGACGGGACGACGGTTCGATTTACCTCTATAGGTGGATCGGTTACGACGCTGCGCAGGACGTAAAAGTCGCCGTGCGCTTCGGCGGTATGTGCTACGGATGCGCACGGGGCGTTGTCGGATACAGCGGGGCGGGCGGATTCTGTGAAAAAAAAAATAAAAAATTCTGCGCATGCGCGAACACTTTATAGCGATTTCCGGCCGAACCGTAGGTGCTACGGACTTGCGCTTCGTCGCGTGTGTGGTCCACGTCGATTTTGGTGAAAATCCATCGATTTTTTTTTGTGGGGTGCATTTGAACCAACCCCATTTTCGTGGGGTCGGGTCGAGACCTTCAAATGAAATTCCTCCGTGTTGCCAAAGACGTCTATGGGGTCGATTGGGTCGATTTTTTTTATATATCGACCCGTTTCCGAACGTAAAACGTTGCGTTAATAAATATTTTCATCAAAACGGTCCAGATTGTTACAGCCTATTAAAAAAAGTTTGAAATTTTCGAATTAAAGACGTGTGTACAGGACAACGTCTGTCGGGTCCGCTAGTAGTAAATAAAGTACAGTCTGTTTGGAAATGAAAGAGAGTAATAAAACCCCGAGATAAGAACCGGCCATGGGCGTGGTAATATTTCGTTTCAGGTAATTATCGGGTAACACTAATGCTAACAAAAATGACAGGGATTGGAAAATCGACTATCTACAGACTTTTAAAGGAAACAAAAAATGAACAAGATACTGTAAATCCCCCAAAATCATCTACAGGGAGGTCAAAAGTCGTTATAGATGATTTCTTCAAAAATGTCATTCGCAGAAAAGTACACTCATTTTATTTTAAAAAAGAAATACCAACGCTAAACAAAATTTTAAGTGAACTTTCAGAGGACAACGATTTGCCAAAAATCAGTAGAAGCAAATTATGGGCCGTCTTACGAGAGTTGAATTTTTGCTGGGAAAAGCAGAACAGGAAGTCAGTTCTTATCGATAAAGATGAAATTATTTGTTGGCGAAGATCCTACTTAAGATCAATTAGAAAATTCCGTGACGAAGGGAGGAATATTTATTATCTAGACGAAACTTGGGTCAACGAGGGATATACTGTAACAAAAGTATGGCAAGATAAAAATGTAAAAAGTTTTCGACAAGCATTTTTGGATGGACTTTCAACAGGGTTCAAGGCACCTTCAGGTAAAGGGCGAAGATTAATAGTGACACATATAGGTAGTGCCAGTGGTTTTGTAGATGGCGGTTTACTTTTATTTGAATCTAAAAATACAGGTGACTATCACGAAGACATGAACGCAGATGTTTTCGAAGAGTATTTTACACAGATGTTGGATCTTATTCCTCCGGGGTCTGTAATTGTCATGGATAATGCCAGTTACCATTCACGGCAGACCGAGCGGACGCCTACGACTGCTTGGAGGAAAGCCGATATAATTCAATGGTTATCCGGAAAAAACATTTCTTTTGAAACAAATATGGTGAAAAAGGAACTTTTGACACTTGTCAATCTTAATAAAGATCAGAAAAAATATGTTATCGATGAAATGGCAACAAATCGCCAAATAACGGTACTACGGTTACCACCTTATCACTGTGAACTTAACCCAATCGAATTAGTCTGGGCGCAGGTAAAAGGAGATGTAGCGCGAAATAATACGACGTTTAAATTAAGTGACGTGAAAATTTTGTTAAAAAATTCCTTGGAACGAGTAACTGCAGATAACTGGCAAAGATGTATACATCATGTACAAAAAGAAGAGGAGAAAATGTGGGAACTCGATAATTTAATTGACGTTACTGTGGAACCTATCGTTATCAATCTAGGAGACGAAGATAATTCATCAGAATATTCAGAGGATGAATTTTAATATACCTACTTTTTTATTTTCTTTATTGTACATTTATACAACACTACATTTACTCACCATAATTTGAATTTTCAAAATACATATATTTTTGTGTGGAATAAAAGTCTATTCATTAAATTTAAATAAATATTTTGATAATAATATTGAATAATTTTATTTGAATTACTAAAAACCCTCTTAACCCGGTTATGATGCTTAAAGTAGCCTCATGTTTTGAAATTCTGTTTTTATATTGTTTACTTATAAGAGAAATGGACCGAGAAATTGGAGCGGCATAGACAAAGACGAATTGTCGTGGATTAAATTTTAGCTACCTGCTACAATTTAGTGGTCCGATCGCACAAAGTTTTGTTAAAAGTAGACCTCATCTATACGGAAAATACATAATATAAAAATATTGAATATAAGCACCAGTACTACATTTATTTACGATTTGCATACATAATGAGCTTTTATTACTCTCTTTCATTTCTAAACAGACTATAGTCAAATATCATTTCCGCTCAAAATCTTTACCAAAAAAAATACAACAAAATACTATCTAAGGTTTTTTTAGCGACTTTTATGTTTTAGGATAAAAAACGTTTAAATTTGTACTTAAAAAAACTACCCTCATTATACGAGTAGTGTCCTTAAAAGTGAGAGAATAATAGTACCTACCTAATAAAATTAAGCAAATAAAAACTTTTTTGTAGCCTGTAACTGTACTAATTTTGTAGTCACTAGGTTTAGGTGATTTATTCTGATCCTTAAAGTATTTCCCATTCTTTATCAGACATGCTGTATTCTGAAGTGACTATATTGTCTGTTAGAAATATAATGATACTTACCTTCATTAAAAAAAGGTCGTAAATCATTTAAGCCGTCTTTAATGCAGGTATCAAAATCGGGACCACTTACGTGACAATCTTTGAAATGTTCCGCTAAAACATTAATATCACTATTTAAATTCTTGCTGGCACAAAATAGGTACGATAAAAATCCACGTCTAAAGTTCTTATAATGTAATATGAAACAAGGTCAAGGTTCTGCAATAATATGTAATAGAGGAAATCTTATAGAGAACGTATACATAATATACTCACTTTCTCTTGCAATTCTACTTTTTTAAAACGTTAGTTCGAGTTTTATTTTTATTCAGCATTCAGAGTTGTACCTTTGTTACAATATTGGTACCTATATATTTTTTATTTTCTTGACGTTATTGTAACAAAGCTATTTTTTAAGTAGGTAATTTAAAGTATTGAAAGAGGTGACCCTTCATTTCATTCTAAGGAATAAAACCTTATAGATTTAAAACTAGTTTTAACAGATTTTGATAGTAGATAAAAGATTTTGACGATAAATACAACGACGTAAGATTACTTAATTATTACAAACATCAAAATAGCTTTAATTGTCGGTGTAATTATTAAGGAATTGTCGCAGCAAATTCCAAAATGATGTCATGTATTGTTATTCTTTCATTCATGTATAATATTTTCTTTATACATACAATCTTAGGATATATTAAACATTTGAAGTCATTAAAATAGTTCTTTCCATAATTTTTCAGAAACAATTTATTTTTGTACAAGTGTATAACAAATATTTTTTTATGATCCTACCAATTAAAACTTCCCACCTGGAAAATATCTGAATTAAAAAAAACAAAAAAAACTGAGTCGTCAATTTTCTTTTCAAGTGGGACACATAATATCGTAAGTTTTGGTATTTTGGAAGCTACCCCTTAGGCAGGGGTGTAAAATACCCTTAAACTTTAATTGACACCTTATGTTGAGTTGATATTGACTTTTTAAATTTTTGTTTGGATATGACAATAAAATCATCACGCATTTATACCCCTGTCTAAGGGGTAGCTTTCGAAACTTACGCCATCATATGTCTCTCTTGAAAAGAAAATCGACGTGTCTTAGGTTTTTTATTGTTTTTTTTAATTACGATATTTTATGTATACGACATAAGAAATTTTTTATTTGTTTATGTATTTCTTTTACACCAAAAACGAACAATTGTGTTATTATTGTGTTTATTCAATTTTATAACTAAAGTTGAGACAACGACAACAGAAAGTTTTTTGGAACATGTAATGAGTTTCAATGATTATTGTGTCGCCGTGAAGAATTATTGTCTACTTCCTCAGCTTGGTATATTTTCGGTTAGATAAAACTAAATTTATAAATTCAACCCTTTGTCTGATTCTTTTTGGCGCAGGGAGTATTTATGTAAAATGTTTCCTCTTCAATGTGACAAAAACAACCAACCAAATAAAAAGAGTAACTGAAAATGCTACAAATGAATAATACAATTACAATGTTGGATGAAAACATTAAGCAATGAATACTTTTATAATTATTTCTGCGTTAAACTGATAGTTAAAACTTATGATCATCAAAATGTGCCTATTACATAAATCACATCATAATAGTGTTTTAAAAGTTTGTTTTTAATTATCAAATTTTAATAATGACTAGCTAAATTTGTTCAGCATAACAATGATAATTAAATTAACATTATTTGTAGTCATAAATGTAAAATGTTGGTAACTTGATTAAGGTCATTTTCGAAAATTTGTATAAATAAAATGACACTCGTTTTTTTTAACAGTCAACAATATAACGTGTGAATTTGAATGCCAAAATTTGACCAGGAGAATGAAGTTTCATGTGGTTTTTGTTCATAAAAGGACAACCGCCACTATTACAGTGAAATAATTTAAAATCAGGATGTAAATAAATTCAAATATGGATTATTTTGAGATATTTTGAATTAAACTTTGTTAAATTTAATTCTGTAATTTGTATCAATAACCACAAAAGCAATATCTTCTGTTTACTTCTTGGCAAGAATAAAGCCCATTTTGTCAATTCTATCTCACCTTATAAAGTTTCTTTCAATAATGTGTAGTGCCAAAACGACAATTCTTCAAAAAAAGGTAATTGAGACTAATTGTAAGTTGTAGTCACCTGTGTGGCGAATATCTTTTATTAATTAATTTGTTATTGATAGTAAGCAATTTTAAAATTTATTTCAAAATATCGGGAAAACTGCTAATCCAAATTTTAATTGTCTTACAGCGTCGAATTTAATAAAACCTTCCATTAAACACTACTAGCTATTAAAAAATAATAATTATGACTTGACGAAATTGACTGAACATTTTTTTCTTGTCGTCAGAAAAATAATATAATAATTAATTATTATCTCTAAATTCTCTTTTCTCTCCTCTGTCCTTAAATCTTCTAATACGACTTCATTTCTATCATGATATCAAATTAAAAGCAGTAAGGTAAATAAGCAAATATCGAATTAATATTTACCTAAATCCATTTGGCATTGTGTGAGTACGAAAGCACAAGAAAAAAATATGAATAAACTGGGAAACATTTTAATTCTCATACATTTGAAGAACCACAAAAGCATTCACTATTTTAAAATTACAATCCAAAACAGTAGTTAAAATCACATCACTATTGTGATTTTAGAAGGTTTCCTATAGAACTGTTGTTGCAGGTAAAGAAAGTAACACACTGCTATCTTCTTGTATAGTCCCCACTTTCATATTTGCTTATTAGAATAATTTCTTGGAATTCCTATCTTTTATGTAATCAGGATATCAAGTCTATTTCATTTTCTGTAATTAGGCATTCTAAACTATATTCATTATAAAATATCTACCAGTTATTAATTGGATCGATGTATAGTGTTTGAAATACTTGTATAAGAAGATTGAGATTAAAAAAATCGAAATAATTTTAACTATCATTTCAATGAAAATTTTTAGATACCAAATATTGCACTGAAGTTTAGTTATATTAATTACTACTATCCAATGAATCAATTATTTCCATTCTGCTAAATACCTGTGTCTTATACACTGTTCGATTTAAAAAATGACACAGAATATTTAGAACACAGTAATACAGGGTGTTCCAGAATATGTGGACAATCGCTTGGATTCATACAGGGGACGTTAAAATAACTTGACAAGTTCCTATAGAAGTCCCCAAAGAAAAAAGTTTCTCTAGAGAACCCCCCTAAAGGACGACCCTGAAAATCGTTTTTTTTTTAATAGCTTAATAATACACGATGGACAACAGAGGATGGAACAATTTTCTATTCACAGGGCCCGGGAATGCATAACATTAGATGGAGCTCATGTTGAACCAACAAAAAATTATATTATTATTAATAAAAATCAAATAGTTTTTTATCGCAAATATTTTATTTTATCGTTATAAATCGAGAGTCCCTTTTTTATTTTAAAGTTCAAGCTATCTAAAAATATTATTTTTATGCCTTTATCGTAAAGGGTGTAAAAAAATGACATTATTGTACTACAGCTAGTCCGTCCCTCGCAAACCAAATAAGCCAAATTATTTCAAGTCAAAAAAAATCGATTTTCAGGGGTGTCCTTTAGGGGTCTATATATGCGTAGGGGGTCCCTCTAGGGACCCCTTATTGGAATTTGTCATGTTATTTTAACGTCCCCTGTATAAATCCGAGAGATTGCCCACATATTCTGGGACACTCGGTATAAATAACAAATGGCCAATGTTAATACATGGATGAACAAAACTTCATTTTTGACGCGTTGTCATGTTACCTTTTGTAGATACGTATACAAATAGAAAAGTGGACTAAACGTCTTTGAAATACCTTCTATTAATACTTCAGAATCAGTCAATTAAGTTCTTCTTGATATAGGTACTTTCAATATTTGTTTAATTAATAGAGCGGGAATAATTCTTCATGTTTAACATATAGCATGAGGTTGTTATACTTTACTGAATCGCTGTAGTCGAACAGAAACTAACTTTCACTCTTTATTACTAACAACAAACACAGCCTGGAAAAAACACTGGGCATTGACATTCAAATAAAATTATACGTATATCACAAAAAAAATAACAATATCAAATGAATTAGAAACCTTTCCAATAATTCAGAATTAAGTAAGTGTAAGGAATCGAGAATAGTGAATTTTAGTGACTTCCCATTCTGTTTTTTTTTTATAAGGTGAAATGAAAGTGAAAGGAGGCTGTTATGTGATTTAATTACTATTTACGTATAGTTTCATTAGTATTTTATATACATGGTGTCCCTGAAAAGGATGGACAACGCTTGACCACAGGTTCCTTGCATGAAAATAAGACTATTTAGCCTAACTTACCTATACAAAAGTGCATGCCTACTGAGTTATAGCCTTCTAAATATAGAATAGATAACCTATTTTTTCCAAATAATTTGAAAACTATTTTTCTTAGAAACTTCAAATTTGGTACACTTATTTTTTTAGGTAAGGTAAATATAGAATTTGGAGAGAATGTTCTATTTTTAGTGCCTGTGCGCCACTGGCTATCCTGTAACATTTTTGTGTGCATGCCAATGACGACAGAATTTATTTTTTTAAAAATAAGCAGTATTTTAGAAGATTTGTTTGCTCTTACAAAATTTCGATATCGTTTATGGCTTTCGAGTAAAATTCGCATATTTTATACATTAAATATGGGCAAAATTCCGATTTATAAAAAATAATTTATAACTGCAGCCTCAAAGCAGGGAATAATAATGAAAAAACGTCACATTAAAAAAAAATAACTGCAAATTTTTAGTATTAGTATTATCAATCAATAAAATAATCATCAACACTAATATTTTAAATAAACAATATCAACTAATAATGTAAGAAAGGCAACATTAACATTTTAAATAAACTGATATTTGTAATCACATTAAAACAATATTACAGTAAATGCTCAAAGTTACTTTCTTGTTCTTAAACGCAAACATTAGTTCTTCGAAATTTAGAAATTATCCAATAATTGTGCATTACCTCTCATAACATTAATTTCATGTTGTATTCTTTCCCATATTCGTTTTCTTTATTTACTGAAAAGTTATTTTAAACTGTGGTCCTCAACGCTCTCCAAATGAAATAATTACATGGGTCCGGGGATTGAGGTGGCCATTTTAAAGGGGCACTATTTCCTCTACCTATCCACCTGTTAGACTTTTAATAACCTGTAATACCTACCTGTACACTGTAATACCTGTAACCTGTAATAACTGGTCTTTTAATACTCTATTAAAGGAACTTTTTAAAAGCCAACCTCTGCCGCTAAACGCCTTTTATTTACCTGAGCAATTTCTTCGACCCTTTCCAAAATTTGTTCCGCCAGCTGAATAATTTCGGCCGTACATTATCCACGATTTAATGTTACAGGTAAAAAACGTCCTGTTTCCCGAAGGCATCTCTCCGCATTAGCAAATGTTTTGTGATTCGGAGTTCTTCGATTAGGAAATCTTTCAGCATATGTTCGAACAGTAGCACAACAATTTCCTTTACATTAACCCAAAACTACTAACATATCAGTTTGATCAGCAAAAGTATAATTTGCGATAAAAAATAAAGTAAGCTAAAATTAAATCACAGCTATCTTGATACAGAACCTTTTAATTATTGTTATGAATTTGTTTCTCTGTTATATGGTACCTCGTACTAGAATGTTCTATTTATCTTAAACTGATTTTATATTATTTAATGTGTAAAAAATGCCAATTTTACTGGAAATCCATAAACGCTATCAAAAATTTGTAAGAGGCAAAAAATCTTCTAAAATAGTGCTTAATTTTAAAAATATAAATTCTGTCGTCATTGGCGTACATACAAAAAAGTTATGGGATAGCCAGTGGCGCACAGGCACTAGAAAGAGAACATACTGTCTATATGTATTCTCACCAAATTCTATATTTACATTGCACTTATATAAAAAAATATGTGTACCAAATTTGAATTTTCTAAGAAAAACAGTTTTCAAAACTCTCCCCGACAGCAAAGCGGTGGAGGCCATGTACCCAATATGTTATTCCGTTCCACTGTACCTATATTTTATGAATCAATAAAAAAAATTAAAATTTTTAATTAAAAACCTGTGTCAAAATTACTTCTTGCATGAATTTTGGGAAAATTTTTGTTTATTAATGTTAAAAGTTATCTGTAGAATTACAGAACATAGGTATTTTTAAAAATTTAAACAGTGTATTGCATTAATAACGGTAAGACTATATCAGACTGTATCTTGTGCTTTCGTGTGGAAAATTGGTCGACTGCATTAACAGTGCCCTCTGTCCAAGAACAATTTATACTCAACATCAATGAATAAGAATAATTCGAGCACTTTCCTCTTTCCTTTTCGTATATTCTATAATTTATCTACAAGGCAATAGATGGCGGCAGCTTCTTAGTCTTGATTTAAATTTCGATGGATTAAAATAAATTCATTATTTATTCGTATTTATTGGTAACTTTAACTTTTTCTAGATAAATTTACTAAACTACTATATATCAAGATGTCTACATTAATCATTATCACAAAAATTGATGTTATTCTAAAATATTGTATTTATTTTGGTTTTATATTAAATTATAACATAAATCTATCTATAAAGAAGTATTTTTATATCAAATAAATTCTTAATCTAAAAACAGTTAAATCCAAAACTTCAAAAGTATTTTGTTTAACGATATATGGCCAAAGGATGATATCAAATAAATTCAATAATCACTTTGATTTCTATTGTCGAAGATAAAGAAACGTATACCTACTTAATACATCTACACATATTTAAAAATGTGACAGGTTTTTAATTCCCATAAAAATATTTGTCTTTGATTCTCATCTTTTCCTTCGCCAAATATAAAAATATAATTCGTATTCCAGTAAGTTATTGCCGGAAATTTATTTGTTTTACTAATTATAAAAGTATGAGAAGATCAAAAGGACAGGTTTAAAAAATAGTACTCTATATACTATTTTCTTATATTATAGTCAAATAATAAGGATGTGAACCAAGTAAGAAGTGTCTAATTAAATCCGCCCAAAAATTATATAGGGTAGTCCTAAATTGTACCCTGATGTTTTCAGGAGGGATAGAGAATTCTTTTCTCTTACTCTGTTAAACATCAATAACCCCTTTAAATAGGGTTATTAGATATCTTAAGATTCTTTGAGATATATTTTTTACATTTTAAAATTAGACCACTAATTTATGCAGTATATACATATTTATTTTCAAATTTTTTCTTAAAAGTCTGCTGCAATTTTTTAAATAAAAGCCTACTAAATTGAAACTTAAAATTATTTTCAAATATTTCCTTCCAAATCTGTTGTCTCTTTTTTTTTAATTTTTAATTAAAATCGACTAAATTTTAAATTTGTTGTCTATAAATTAACGGCAAAAAAATTGGAACAACACTTTTCAACTAAAAAAAAACATTAAAAAAATTTACAAAAAATTTATCAATCCAACCGTTTCCCAGAAAAAAAAAACAATGTATTATTTTGCGGTAACCCTTAAAAGCAGTTAAATAAACAAATAATAAATCCAAAATAATTATCCTTATACAGGGTGTCCCGAATTAGTGCAACAAAATTTGGTCACAGATTCTTAAGACAAAAGGGGACCCGTATTCTTTATTTTTGCCAAGTGACCCCCCTCTTTCGGAGTCACAG